TTTAAACATTGTGCATAGAAAATTAAGTGGGAACATTACTGATCAAAAATTGAATAATACAATAGTCACCATAGTTACCCAAAAGTTAATATTCATGTTACTCAAATTTACATGTACTGTTTTAATCTAAATGTCCCTTATAGATTATTATAACATAAGTTATATAGAAGTTACTAAAAAATAATAGTACAGCAGCATATGTAAGAAAAATTTGGCAAGAAAAATACTAGCCAACCTGTTCCTCAATTAATACTACGTGTACTGTATTAATCTCAATGTTCCTTATAGAAAAATGTGAAAGCTGCCAAATGGTGCAGTTATATATAGGAGCCAAATAAAATACTAGCCTGATTTGGGAAAGACAGGAAAACTGCACTATAATTCTCATTTTTTGTTGTTGTTTATAATAAAAACAAAACATGTCAGTTTACTACACTTTAATATGTAATTAATTGACAAATCTTGGAGAGTATATTACTAAGATATACTGTGGAATACTTTATTTTCGCTTGGAATTTATTTTCGCTATTTTCGCTGGAGGGATGATTCCGTGAAAATAAAATATACTTTTTTTCCTATATTTCACATTACACTCATAAAAAAATCAGTGAAAATAAATTCCATACAAAACGCCCAAAAAGCCTTTTCAGCGAAAATTAATTTCAGCGAAAATAAAGTATTCCACAGTAGTTTTCATTATTTCCATTCTGTCCACTTAACTCTACACAAAAATGGAACATTTTATAGTGATTGATATCTCAATTTTGAAGATGAGAAGATAAAAAGTGTTATTGTGACCACAAGAAAAAGACAATTTTAAGTGAAATTTAATCAATATCTTGAAAAATATATAATAGATCACATACCCAAATCAAACTTGGTTGAACTTAGAAACTAATATTAATATAATAATACCAAGGTTTGAAGGAAAAAAACACTGATTATTGTAACCACAAAAACATTTTTTCAATGCAGTCAACAACAACAACAACATCATGCAAAGATGTTTCCTCCTCATATACCTTGAATATACAAACAAGGTAAAAATGATAAATCGCAACATTAGTATTTTTGATTATCTTGAATTATTTAAAAAATTCTGGGTTTTAAAAGTGATGAAAAAAAAAATGTTAGCCTCAACGTTGTGTTCTAAAGAATAGTTCTAAAAATAGCAACATGTAGAAAAATTTTGTGCAAATTTTCTCAAAATATGTTGCTGTAAAACACAAAAGACTGCTGTTTCTTGTTGCCATGGTGCAATGATTCTACAACTGTATGTACTATTAGTGAACATTGTCATTCTATTTATAAAGTTTCTACATTCAATTTTTTTTATCATGTTTCTACATTCAATTTTGTTATCATTACTAAATATTCTATGCATCATTTTGTATTGGGCATTGAGATAATTTTTTTATAACATCTTTTTAGGGATCTCAGTTAGTGTAATTAAAAAAATAAAAAATTAACATATCCTTGCGATAACCAAGAGAGCCTTTATTCGGCCAACGAATCACGGCTTATGTAGGATTACGATTATACAGTAATAACACATTTGTGACAAAGCTTTATATTCTTCTAACAGTCTATTCTTTTTTATGGTTGTAATAAAAGAAATATTCTATTTTATCACATACATACTTATCTCTCTCAGTGTGATGTAATACAAAACAGATTGAAAAATGCATATCACATAGTTACATAATTTGTATTGTATGCACTGTCAGATTGTCTTCAACTTCAAGGTTTATATTGGTCGATAACTGGTTGTGTTAAGAAACATATTTATTTTGGCAAGCTGATGTGTATTTTGGGAATTATTATACAGTCCCTCCAAAAATAGGTTAAAATTTTAAAAAAATAGTGAATTTGAAAGGAAAATATCAAGAACAATCAGAATAGCCGCACAAGTGTACACATGGCGTGTAATAAAACACCATGGCAACAACAAAATTAGCATACAAAGCACCCGCAGTGATATATTTAAGTTCAGTGTTATTTCAGTAATAGTCTCACTTTCAACACTTTGCTGTTTCACTTTTCTCACATGTAGAAATAAGCATGTGATAAATACATAATTCCAAAATATTTTCTCTTAGGTTGATTTAAGCAGACAGTTGCAAGTACTGCAAGTACTGCCAATCTTTGTATGCAGCTCAGATTGATGCAAAACTCTGGTGATAATCACTCACGTCTGCTGACGTCAACATAAAAGAAAAATATTGTGGGATTATATATACCGATACTGATAACTGTTTATTCATAGCACAAAGAAAGACATATATATTCTTTATAACCTGTATTCAGAGCTTACTTAAATCGGGAGGGTCGTCACCTGCGCATGTGCGGGAATTGAGTCCCAAACGATGATAACAACACACGCTAAAAACGCAAAGGCTCGCTTGTTTGTAAACAATGACACGCTATGGCCATCTGACGCATGCGCAGGTGACGACTCCCCCGCTTTAAGAACACACAAATACAATTTTCGAGAAACAAGTTTTATTTTTCATTTTACCTGAATAGGGAAATTTAGGTCATTTATACAATGCGTTATTTAGCTAGGGTTCCAATCATCTATAACGCCAACGTCATGTTTGTTTATAGACACTTACACAGAAACAATCATTGTCTCATTTATCTTAAAACGTCTGATCGCATACTGTTCATCGTTTTGAATATTGGAATACTTGAATACAGAAGAAAAATTGTATGTGGATTAAATCAAAGAGTTGGAATAAGGAAAGAAATCAATGCATCAATCTGTCATATTAAACTTGGTTCATTTATGTTCAATCACTTGTAAAATGTGCAATTACACAGAGTCATTTATTTTTTACAAAATATATTAACTCTAGCAGTATTAAAGTGTGTGTTTATTTTAAGCAGGTTTCCTATTTACACAGGTTTAGTTTAGACAGATTTCTTATTTACACAAGGTTCAGTTTAGACAGGTTTCCTATTTACACAGGTTTAGTTTAGACAGGTCTCCTATTTACACAGGGTCCTTTTAGAG